TGTAGCCTCGGCAACTACTGTTGCTGCTGGTAACTTCTAGGACAGACTGTAGTTTGCAGAAACCTACGTATCCCACTGACAGTTACTTGGAAGTGTCAGCGGATATCGTATCTGCGGTCGCTTTAGTAACACTCTGTCGAGATGTGTACCTACAAATTTTGTATTGCTGTCAATTTTACCCACGTGAAATAACGGGTTTCTTGTTTTTTGAAACAATGATCACCCCATCGTGGATTAAAAAAACACTTTCTTCTGCATTCATTAAAAATTATTCACTTCCGAATATGAAAAATTGTGATTTATATATAAATTTGTAAAATTGAGTAATTCAGAGAATCGTTTCTTTTTCGAACATTAATTTGGAACAATTTATAGAATCACGTAACAATTTTTGGTCTCGTTAAACAGAAGGATAAAAGCAGACATCGGTTCTTCAAAGGGAAATTAAATCGGCTATCAGTGGTATGTCGCTTCCGGCGTTAGATTCGTCGCAGTGACAAACAAAGCTATAAAAGGGGTAGCAAAAACATTAGAGTCTTCCATCCGTTCTCTTTTGCTCTCGCCGTAGCTTCCGCGGACGTGTGCGAGCGAGATCTCTCTCATAAAATCAAATAATTCCGGTTGGAAGACGGACTCGGCCCGATATAACCGCGTGAGCGGCAATAAAAGGGCGAGCGTCTACGCGCGTACGTACACGGTGGCTTCTACATACGTTCAACGACCGTGTATATCGAGAGGAAAACGAAACGTTTAACGTAAACTGAAAAACAATCGGATGAGCGGCGGCTGTCACTCCGGCGACGAGGCTGGCATCCGCAGCTCCAGTCATCTGTTTCCTACGCGCGGCCGTGTCGTTTATTTTTCCAAAATGTCTGCTAAAATACCGGGCTGACTCCCCTGGGTTAACGCGAGCCCTCGCGACCAGTAATTCGAGACCTATTTATAGGTGACCACCTAACCCAGACCTATTGGCGAACCGTTTTTATTTAACAAGTAGCCAGTCGATCGAGACTACCCAGGTGCTTTCGAGAGTGATTGATTGATAGTACTAATATCGATAATAATAGATAGTGACGATGAGATAGAGTCAATGACGCCTTTACCATACAGAAGTTGAACCGATCGAATATACATATACATACATGTATACATATTTCTATTCACGATTAATTATTTGCTTTTTCAATATTTATGTATATTCATTTTGCTCGTGAGTTGATCAAACTGTGGTTTGAATCAATTCGGTTTTTAACGGGACTTATCTTGACATCTTTGCCTCGAAGTCACTTAATTTCTGTGAAATTGCGAGCAAAGTGGACGCTTTCGAGGGTGCTGTGTCAGGCGGGTGCGGGAGGGTGGAACGGAGGAAGGGAAGCGCGGTGGGGAAGGAACTCGGGAAAGTCGAGCGAAAGAATTTTCTGTGAAACTCTCGCAGCCGCGGAACGGAGGTTGCATGAAGCGCTGTTGATTGGCCGGTCGTGCCACCAATTTTCCTCGACGTCGCTTCGCCACGAAAAATTGGTAAATTGCTTCTTTGAAATGCCGGAAAAGCGCGAGGGAAACGGTTTCCTTCGTAGCTTTTCCAACGGGAACTCTCCTTCGTCGACCGAAGAATTCGCTCGATGATCCGTACGCTCTTTTACCGATTATTCCTCTCCCTTCGTTTTTCTCTTTCGCGTGTCAACCGCGAATTTAGACCTCGTGTCTCGTTACCTCGAATTCTCCCCTTTCAACCAAGTCCTCGAAATTCTCTATTGAAGATAAACTATTTTTTTTTTCCCTCTGCGGTTGGTGACAAGTAGGAAAGGAATTATTCCATTAATTACTTTACACAAAATTTTGGGCGATAAATATGTTTATTAGAATTTTAATACATGTACAATTGCTTTTCGTTTTTTTTTTGAAAATATTCCACTCGAATGAACGGATCGGTCGAAGCCTGATTTTCATTGAGAAACACTTCGCATGTTCATAAGGCGAACCGAATTGCCAGTTTGATGTTTGAGATTTTCTGTCGCCCCTTCTCTTCTCGTTTCTTCGGTCGCAGCCTCTCGCGCCTCTTCTTTTTTCATCTCTCTACGCGTCCGTCCGTTCACTCTCGGCTTCTCTGACACGCGTTTCAATCAGGATGGTTGCCAAGGAAACCCAGGAACCGGCGAGTGTCACACGGACTATTGAAGAGGTTAAAGAGAACTGCGATTCCTTTCCGAATGAGAACGCGATCACAAGTTACGTACTTCCCGTTTCTGGCCAGACCGGGTTGACGATATAAAAACAAGTTTTTTGTCATACTCTAAGCTGCCTGGCTTAGTGGAAAACTAATGATTGACTACTGACTGATTTATCAATTCTTTTCTGTCCTACGAATTTTAGTCATTCCTTTAACGTAACGTATTCTCGACGAGATATTCAGCGAGGGATGAAAAGTATTGCTCGGAGATTGCTCGACCAGATTATACTTTTAAATCTCGCAGTTCTATTGTAAGAGGCGGTCGGGTAAAAAATCGGAAATTTTTTTGTCCCTACCTGAAATGGTTCGTATGAAATTGATAATAGTCGCCACCTAGCCAAATAAATTCTCCTCCTGTTACAATTTTTTTTTTACGATAGAATATCTTCGCAAATTGTCTTACGACTTTCGAATTATAATATATGTATAAAAAAAGATTACTCCTTTCGATCTTCGCTAATATTCGACACAGTTTCATGTACAGAGTGAGACTAATCCATTTGTTCTGTTAGCTATAAGGGTTATTTTTAATACGGTTTTTGCGCCTTGTCGAATTAACTTCGCCTAACGGAGAGGCTCGTCTACTTCATTCGCGAAAACGTGCGAACAAATCGTAACGGTAGGGGGAAGGGGTTGAAAGGGGTGAGAAAAGAGGGCGCGTGGTGCACAGCTCCGGTCGGACAGCCGGAAGACCGTTCAGCGCTATTAACAGCTAATGAAAATTAGCTTTCGTCGGTTGATTGAGCGTCGAATCGTCCCTTTCTTGTTTCGGCAGCGAGAAATCCGTTATCGGTGTGTCGTTGAACCAATGTACTCTCCTACTACCGTGTTTCGAACTCCGGTATCTCCTCATTTTCTCTTTCCTTGTCTCGCACCGTGCGATCCAGGAAATTCCTAGGACAAGTGCTCCACCCCCTGTCTTCGGTAGAAAAACATTTCAAATGCCACAAAAGGAAAGAGCAGAATTTATATCAATCGTTACAACTGAATTGCGAAAAATCCGAGACAGATGAAAATATTGTGAATGATTTCTCGAACAACGATTTTATTTTGCAACTTCTGTCTATTTCCGACTTCTCACGATCCGCAAATTTCGACGATCATTCCGAATTCGCGGTAAGGCTCGACGTAAGAATGCACGTGCTTCGTAGGAAGAATATTTGCTTTTCTTTCGCAGAATGTTGCGCATTATTTCGAGTCTCTGTGGCATTCGGTATACATAACACGTTTATATCGTATACGTACCTTCATCGACGTTTTCGAGCAGCAAAGTAGACTCGTTCATTGTTTGAACATTTTTCAGGTTCCTTTCATCTTTCTTTCGTCTATCAAACATTTTAAAGACAATAACATTTTGCCAAATTCCAACGTCACATGGAACGTACGATTGGGAAACATACTCTCGTTTCCCTGGATGAAATGGCGAGGAACGTATAAGTTAAAAATAGGTCACTCGATTTGGATCGAGTCTCGAAGGTTGTGATTACATATTCGGCACGAGGGCACAATGGGCCGCGTTAATTTCTTAATGGAAACCGCAAGTAATCCCTGAGTCTAGTCCGGGCCGCTAGTTACGACTCGCGTGTCAGCACAAGGCTTCGTTTAACGCGAGAGCATTATGGCTTTCGAATGTTTAGAAGACGATATAAACGTTAGGCAGTAATGGACTGCAGAAACGACTATAAAATCCATCCTTCCCGAATCGTATCCCCGTTCCTCGCGAGTCAACTTTGTGTCATTGATGGTCTCGCGGCTAAACGATTTAATAGCACAGACTACCCGCTATCATTCTTTTCTCGAACCGTTTTTTACGACTTATTTGCTCTGGTCATAGCCATCGTTCCTTTGAAACAACCCAACGGCACCGCGTGTAATACTATACTCTTTCCAATTCATTTACTATTTCTAACGTTACATTTTAATTCCCGAAAAATTATAGCGATTTATGTACGTGGGGTATTGTAGAGACGTTTGGAACAAAAATTTCGTACACGGAACAACGAGGATGTACAGACCTGTCGATCAGCGGCATTCCTTTGTGCGGCTGGTTCCTTTTTACACAGATCCGTAGGAGTTCAGAAAGCGTAGGGACCCTTTTCGAGTAGGATAATGTAACTCCTTTGTTTACAACAGATGAGTGTCAGATCTAGCCTTTTTTCCACAGTCGTGTCGGTTAAAGTCTGCTCGTCTCCGCGTCTGAATAAACATATCTGATGTCTGTCGGGCCCACCCAGACGCGCAGAGCTATTAAAACCCTTATGAGAAAGTCTCCTTCCATCTGTGAACTTGATTGCGAACGAGTCGACTTTTCGTGACAATCGTTCAATCGACACTCGACGCAAATTGATAGACTAGACAGTATCGACTGACTCTATGAAAGAATAATATCATACCTTATATGAATCCAATCGAAAGGCCAATTTTATTACTATTAACGTGGTGCTTCATTTATGTATATGTGATATCTTCTCTCTATTCCTATTCGAAGTATTGGAAATTTACTGCACGCTCTAGAAAATATAATGCAAGATTTTACTTTATATTTGTGAAAGATTTACGATGGAACCCTTCGCGTTTCTTTATGGGTATTAAAAATTGACAAGACGTCGCTTTCAGATTCTTTTAAAGTAACATGTATCTTTATTTTTCTAACAATTAAACGCAGTTAAAGCGTGGAGACTCGTAAAAGGGTTCGCAAGTGGCGGTTCGGATAAAAAGTAGCTACTTCTTTGGAAGAACGTCTCGGGTCGAGCATGTCACGTTTTTTACGAGCTCGTGACGTGTAGACGTTCGAGAGAGTGACTCTTCAAGGGGGGTCGTAGGCAAGAAGAAACACTTGTTCCATTTTTTCTCTTTTTTTTTTTCTCATAATGAACCACGTATATTTTGGATAGATCTGTCCGATCACATACAGAGCGCGTTTACAGTAGTAATAGTGTCGCTATGATTAATCAGTATGATCGATTTTATTGCACGTGTGCGTGTCTCTATTTCGCTAAATATGAAGAAAATTGTTCGTGTACTCTTTGACAATCTATTATGGTGCGTGTATATGTGTGTCTGTGTCTGTCTGTGTGTGTATGTGGCTTCAGAATAAATAAATATCCATGGGTATAATTCCATTGAGATTGCACTTTATACAGTTATTTACATGCTAATTTACACGATGATTCACTTCCTAGATATATTAGGTAAAATAGCGGATTGTTTGGACTCTAAATCGACGTTAACCAATACCGTGCTCTCTTTAATCATTACTTGGACGTAGGTGTGTGGTTATGATTAATTTTAATTGGCATCCATTCACAGAGAACGAAGCATGGAAATGTTACACTTCAACGATTTTCAATTAGGTAGAACGACGAGCGATAGACTAGTTTAACAATAACTAAAATAAATCTATACAAACGCAATGATCGTTACACGAATCGGTAACTAATCTAAAAATATCTCCTTCCCCCTTTACCTCGTCAAATAAAAAATCGATGAAACCAAGCAGTTTGAAACAGACTAGTTTAATCGACCGATTACTTGATCCAAAAATTTTCCGACATTAAGTACAGATTCGGCAACCTTGATTCCTTTTCTATCCAACCTCCTGAATCGATTTCGTCGTTTCCATTCTCGCGTTTCAAAATGAATCGCGAATTCAATGGACACTTTACTTGTCGTTGTTCAATTTCGCGAGCTGGTTGGGATCGAGATCGGGCGCGATCGCGTTTTGCACCTGAATATGCGCGGAGTGAAGGGGCGGGCAGAGCAGTGGATGATAGGGTAGACAGTAGTATGGGAAACCGGCGGCGAGCCCTTTGTTCGCCGGATGTAACTGCGGGGCAGCGGACATTTGCCCGGGGATTTGGCCGGAACTGCGGAGCGGCAATCCCCTCAGATGCTCGTCCGGATGTACCAAAACCCGTACAGCCACTCGCCTCGCGTTTCCAGAATTCACCAACGCGCCTAGCTCCTGCTGCTGCCGCCTCTTGGTCTTGTATCTGAAAAACAAGTTGAAAATTAGTATACTTTAACAGTAGACTCCCTGGTTGGTAATTGGATGAAATTCATTCTAATAAAAAAATCATAATTCACATTAACTGCAAGATTTAATGTGAAAATAGAAAGATTCTGTACACTAGTCGTACCGTCTGTTCTGGAACCAGATTTTCACTTGCGTCTCGGTTAGTTTCAAACCTCTGGCTAGGTCTGCTCGCTCTGGGCCTGACAGGTATTTTTGGGCGGCGAATCTTTTCTCCAGTTCGAAAACCTGAGCGTGAGAGAACGCGGCTCTGCTCCGTTTTTTCCTGCTTTGTAGATTTTGACCGTGACTCTGCGCCTCGAACATATCTTCTTCAGCATCCTCTGAAAAATGACAAGCATACCGTCGTTTGACGATGATTATATAAACCTAGTTGAAACGATTTGATGATTTACTCGAAGCTAAACCTCAAAACGTATCAACAAATCATCGAAATCTAGATATTTACAATAATGATGGTAAACCAGATCCATCTCCCTATTTTGCAACAAACTGGCACAGTTTTACAGAGAGATCGCGTGCAAACAAACGCGTGAATCGGGAAAGGATGATCTACGCCGTGACCATAAATCAAACGCTTTCGGAAGAGAAACGCGAGGGTGCAGGGAGGTCCGTGGCGTACAGAAGACGAAGAGTCGGAGGTAAGAAACGAGTGAGGAGTAACCATCGACGGACAGCCAGCCATAGAAGCGGCGAACGATCGGAGAGAGTTCCGCCCGCTTTTGATGTCTCGTTCAAACATTTAACACGTGCACTCGCTACTCCGACATGTTTACGCTGCTGTTCCACGGTAATTCTCCTCTCTAAGTTTAACCGGTTGCACTGGATGGAGAGTGCAATCGCTGTTCCCCACCGCATCGAAACGAAAATTATTCCTTCGCCCGTCACTCACTTTGTTTCCACCCAGCTTCCAATCGGGGGTATCGCTTTTAGTTGGAATTTCGCTGATGTATATTGTTCATGAACACATTTCCCTTTGCATTTAAATTCTGAATATATCTTAATGTCAAAGAACAAGCACGAGTACAATACGCAAAATATAATACAAAAATTGAATAATATCAAGAATAAATAACACGCGTGGACAACATTTATTCGAGCAACATTCCTCTCGGAGATGAAAACGATGAAATTTGAAAAGAACAAAACCAACCGGGGCTTAAAAATAAGGGAACGAACTCTTTGGATTGTCGGCGAAAAACACGCGTGACATCATAATTATTTCGTACGTGGCCGTACGTTCTGCGTCAATGTTTATCGACGGTGGCCGATGACGGGGAGACCTCGAAGCATTTAGAGAGATCTATATTTGATCACTTTCGACGTCAACTCTATGCCATCTCGAAACCGATGGCTAATGCGTCCCTCCTCTCTGTCTCTGACGCTCGTCAAACAGATCTACGTCCACCCGCGTCCTACATCCAGAGAAGAGAGTGTTCGCGAGAGCAGCAAGTGCCGTTTGCTCTCACTCCGATTACATCCAGAGTGTGCAGAAGATGACCCTTCGTCTCGATCCGTCCACCTTGCACGCTCGTCGTTTTTCAAATAAATTTATTATATGGACGAGACTCTGATCAAACGAAACATTATCCCCTTTCGCGTGCGGGAGAGCCACAGACGTTCGAGTGTTTCACTTAATTTTTTTTAAGTAAACTCGTACGTAAATGGCAAACTCACCGTGACATGAGTCTAATAGTTTACTAGCAATTCTTTTTATGCCATGATAAAATCGTGTACTTATTTTCTTATTAAATATTAATAAATAGACCGTTGAAATATAAATAGACCGTCGGGAAAAACATCCACAATTTGTAAGATCTGCCGAATCATTTGTGGAAAAACGCGCGGAATACACGGCATGGAATTGCGGCATTCATTCAGTCGCTCGTTCTCATACTGAAACGTAACCTTGTATTTTATTCTAAAATAAAGACTATTGCAAAAGTAAAATTGAGTCGTCCTTAAAAATTTTTAACATGGACTACTGCTTGAATACTAAATTATTATAATGATCCGCGCATGTATTGTTGACGTATTAGCGTTATAATTGCTCGTTCCTGCCTTGAATATCCAGTTCATTATCGCATCAAGGTGATGCCGAAAAACGGGGAGGCGGCCGGAAAAAGGGGGAATTTGTAATTTGGTGAGTGAGCCTTGAAACGGTGCCAGCTCGTGCCCGTTCCACTTCACCCTCGAAGTGGTGAAAATGCGTGGAATCGTCGCGAAACGAAACAACTACTCGTGGCACCATGAAATTACTTAATCACCGGTCCCTTGTTTAATTCCGCGAGCAGTGCCACTTATTTGGAGATGCGTCTCGTTATTCAAAACGATCTCTGAATCATCCTCTTGGTTGAGCTGACCGTTTAAACCTCCAAGGATTAACGCGAAGCGAGAAAAACCGATTTCTTTGGAATCGATGATCCAAGGAGTAACCTTGATCTAAATTTGTTTTTCTGCGGTGGATCGCGGTGGATCCAAGACAGAGAGCGATGGTGTGGCCGGGGATTCGAACAAGTGTAAGAAGAAGCGGTCGGGAAGAGTGGCCGGCCACTTGTGACGTCTGCCGCGTGGTCGAGCACCACTTATGCTACTAAAATTACATTCGATCACGTTATCTACGCTCGGGTTAACTTAAAAAACCCTTGAAAAGCTCGCCTGTTGGATACAAGGATGTACCCGTAACAGAGGCCTAACTAAATGATCTCTTAAGCCGGCATCCTCGTGGCAGACACACGATCGCCCAGAAGGGAAGCGGCCTAGAGATTTCCACTCATAAGTGGGACTTCCTTGCTCTTTCCGTTCATTTAGATTTACTTATTATCTGGTTATCGGCTTCGATAGCCTCGTAATTCTAAGTCTAGTTAGCTTTCGCTGGAGCAAATTCAAATCGAATAATTCTTATCAATCGACCGTTTGATCAAACAGGAAGTCAATCTCTTTTAATAAAAAATTAAGTCAAGCCCACTAAATATTGTTGCTCGTGAGATTCATATAATTTAATTATATCATTTGAAATATAAATAGACCGTCGGGAAAAATATCCACAATTTGTAAGATCTGCCGAATCATTTGTGGAAAAACGCGCGGAATACACGGCATGGAATTGCGGCATTCATTCAGTCGCTCGTTCTCATACTGAAACGTAACCTTGTATTTTATTCTAAAATAAAGACTATTGCAAAAGTAAAATTGAGTCGTCCTTAAAAATTTTTAACATGGACTACTGCTTGAATACTAAATTATTATAATGATCCGCGCATGTATTGTTGACGTATTAGCGTTATAATTGCTCGTTCCTGCCTTGAATATCCAGTTCATTATCGCATCAAGGTGATGCCGAAAAACGGGGAGGCGGCCGGAAAAAGGGGGAATTTGTAATTTGGTGAGTGAGCCTTGAAACGGTGCCAGCTCGTGCCCGTTCCACTTCACCCTCGAAGTGGTGAAAATGCGTGGAATCGTCGCGAAACGAAACAACTACTCGTGGCACCATGAAATTACTTAATCACCGGTCCCTTGTTTAATTCCGCGAGCAGTGCCACTTATTTGGAGATGCGTCTCGTTATTCAAAACGATCTCTGAATCATCCTCTTGGTTGAGCTGACCGTTTAAACCTCCAAGGATTAACGCGAAGCGAGAAAAACCGATTTCTTTGGAATCGATGATCCAAGGAGTAACCTTGATCTAAATTTGTTTTTCTGCGGTGGATCGCGGTGGATCCAAGACAGAGAGCGATGGTGTGGCCGGGGATTCGAACAAGTGTAAGAAGAAGCGGTCGGGAAGAGTGGCCGGCCACTTGTGACGTCTGCCGCGTGGTCGAGCACCACTTATGCTACTAAAATTACATTCGATCACGTTATCTACGCTCGGGTTAACTTAAAAAACCCTTGAAAAGCTCGCCTGTTGGATACAAGGATGTACCCGTAACAGAGGCCTAACTAAATGATCTCTTAAGCCGGCATCCTCGTGGCAGACACACGATCGCCCAGAAGGGAAGCGGCCTAGAGATTTCCACTCATAAGTGGGACTTCCTTGCTCTTTCCGTTCATTTAGATTTACTTATTATCTGGTTATCGGCTTCGATAGCCTCGTAATTCTAAGTCTAGTTAGCTTTCGCTGGAGCAAATTCAAATCGAATAATTCTTATCAATCGACCGTTTGATCAAACAGGAAGTCAATCTCTTTTAATAAAAAATTAAGTCAAGCCCACAAAATATTGTTGCTCGTGAGATTCATATAATTTAATTATATCATCCTTGTAGACCAAAATTATATTATAATAGAACGTCGTGCTTATCAAGTTGATAATGTCAACTCACCTAGGTACTTGTTCTTGCTCATGTCCAATGCTTCGTCCTGCTGTCTCTGCGAAGATTCCCTCGATTCTTTCACTGGTTGATAAGCACTCATGTTTCCTAGGCTTTCGAAGTGCTTGAACGTGTTCTGGCCTAGGTGCGAGATAGTCCCGAAGTTGGAAATGTTCGCGTGGACCAGATTCCTTGTAAGAATGTCCAGTTCGCGGGCCATGCTCAGCTCCGGCGAAGGTAGCCTCGAGAATCTAGCCATTTGATCACGATCGTCTAAACGATTCTTTCCCTGATCGATTTCCGAACACTCGTAATCACGTTGGAATTTTTTCGCAAAAGCCGGTGCACTGTGGACAACCTCTGACTCTGAAAATCGTCGCTCCGAGCAGGAATTTCGTCTACTTAGAATGTCTGCTATACTGAACGGAGTTAATTGAGAATTAATTGGTTTTGGCGAGGCTTCGCTTCGTTTGTCATCCTCCACGATGTCAGACATTGCTGTTCTTTTCTCAATAGTTATAGTTTTAAATTTTCACAGGTTGTCTAGTTCTTCACAAAAAAATCTCAGTCTTTTCGGCACAGTTATGTCTTCTTTCAATTTTCACAAATTGTACGATGTCATTTCTTCCATCGTCCGATTGTCAATCGTCCCACATTTTCCAACTCATAGATGACAGCATTCTTCTAACATCGTTCACTACGTTCTTCCAACCTCGTGGTCGATCGATCTCCTTGTATCTCGTATCTTCCAAAAGGGTTCCTCGATCCCTTGGAAAAGGTTTTCGCACGGTCTGATCCACGTTCGTTGGTGGTGACGGTTCTACTGGCCGACGCGTTGTCTCCCGCAGGAGGTGGAGAAGGAGGAGCGTTTATTAATTGTCACTCGCACGACCACTCAAAGGAGGAGGAGAAAATGTATATGTGTGTGTGTGTGAGAGAGAGAGAGAGAGATAAGAGAGAGGGGGAGAGAGAGAGAGAGAGAGAGAGAGAGAGAGAGAAGATAGAATGCGAGCGCTTCCGCGGTGAGCGTGCTTCGGACAAGTGTGCTTGTCGCTTGCGGAAACTTATTTTTCGAATTAGTTCCGCGGCCACTTCGCCGCCTCCTCTGTCTTCCTTCTTCCCTTCCATGCACCCCACGCGCGAGCCATCTTCCCCTTCTATCCGAACAGTCACCCCCACCAGATAAATATTCCTCCACTCTCGCCTGATCGCGACTTAGGGATCATTCTTCCTCCACCATCGACTACTTTAACCCTTTGCCGATTGACAGTGCAAACAAGAATACGCGAAGCTTAATCCATCATTCCTAAAGTAAAATCGCAATCAGTTCTACAGAAGTGAAAACGACACTTCTCTTTCAACCTTCAATCTGATTCAATAAGACTAATTAATGACTGTATATCTATACGTATTGAATTCTTCTGACAAAGATTAAGAGATTAAAATATCAGGATTATCGTTCCCAATTGTTTTCATATCTCGTACTTACGTTTTATTCTTTTGTCATTACGATATCTCTTCCGTAAGCCCATTGTTCAATTACAGAAATAAGATTTACTATTGTTTTACACTTTGCTGTTTCTTCGTTTTTATTGCACTTCAATGTTTTTCACTCTCGCGGTTTCGTGCACAGCCTCATCACTTGAAACCTTTCAGGTCCGCGATGACTACTTTTCTCGAGTCTGAACGAGTTGGTGGTCAGCCGAAATTCGAGTTTCGCGAACTGTGGCGTAGGTGGAGCTTTAAAAGTAGGTGCACGTTGGACGCAGGACGCCCGACGACGCTTCCGTCTCGACGCAAGCCTCGCCCTACGACCAATCGACGGCTCTAGCAGCTACTAGCTTTTCACATAGGAACCAATCCACGGGTTCTAAGAGATTCAGAGAAAGAAAGAGACGGAAAGAGAGGAAGAAAGACACTGGAGACGATGAGTGGAGTGGGATCATCCGCTTTTTTCACGGTCGCGTCGTAGCGACGGAAGTGAAACTCTTTCAGATACCGAGGAAAGTAACGCTACTTTATCCGAGTATTCCCTCTCCGGTTCGGAGAAATTTTTACTTGTTAGATGTCGTTTAGTTGAATGAATTACCACATGCACGAAGTTCAAAAAGCTTGAGAATGAAAATTAAAAGTAGTGGTAGTTTTTATTCGAAATAAGAGTAAGTGTCGTTTGACTCAGATTGGAATGTGGAAGAAGTTGTGTATCAACTAAAATAATTTATTACTTACTGAAAAGTATTAAAATTGATGTAATTTTATTAAAATATTTCATTGATTAGTGAGAAGCTTAAATTAAATTCCAATTATTTTGTACATAAGATTCCCTTGTCCGTTGTTGTTAACGCTTAAACAAGTCGAATCACTTATTCCTTCCAGTTTTCAGACCGGCTGCTGTCGCTTGACATCGCTATTTCACAGGTGAGAAATCTGCGCAATTGCTTTCATAAAGATCTTTGGACCGTGGCGGGAGACAGAGGCTTCTCGGCCTCGTATCGGAGAGGAGCCGCGCACGGTGCATGCACAGGGTGTGCTTTACATAACAATCGGCCGCTAAAGACTTGCAGCATTGTCCGCCACGTGCTGTCAGCCGAGAGTTCCTATGCTGGTTTAATTAAGTGTGAACCACAGGAGCGTGGATCACGCCTCACTTCGTCCGATGATGGGCCTCGCACGGTTCCAGATATCGACGAGTCAGATAATTCCATGTTCCTTCCATGAAATTTCTTTGTCTTTCCTGTTTCAATTCTGAAAAACTATGCTTGAAGAATATACTGTCTCCTGTACCTATCATTTTGATCGAACTTTTGAGAAAGATCAATCACACTCGAGTACGATATTGCACATTTTAATTTACAATAAAAACAGTGTTTACCGAAAAGACTTCAAAAACAGTATAAAAAAAATCTTGATTCTTAAAGATGCGTCTCAATTTCTTATATGGGACCGATCGATCCTGACGGATTGACAATTAGCAGGTGGCGGGTAATCGAACCGGAAAAACGACGTTCGCCATTTCCCTATTAGCCATTAACCACAAAGAGAGTACCGGGGAGAAAAAAGGAGGCGAAGGACGTGCCGTCTCGAAGACGATCGCGGAAGACGGTAGCGGTGCGTCTCTTTTTCTCGATTCGATCTAATCAATAATAAATTATAGGGGTTCGCCGGTACATCTCTCCCCTAGAGCTAAGCCCTGACCCTCCCGCTCAATTGGTCGCAATTCTTAAAGACCTTAATTGGCGCGGAAAATTATACCTTATTTCAAGTTACCCTCGGGCGAGATCAGCCACCCCTTCCATAGTTATCTAGCCTTATATCGCGCTCTACCAATTTCTTACGAGTTATTTTCTATCATAGTATTTTCTTCTCGCGTAAAAAAATGTAAGTGTGTCCACTATCGATTCGATCGTAAATAAAATCGCGTCTCTTTCCGCGGGGTGAAACCGCGAACCCGTTCTATGTATAAACAGTAAACGTGAAGCCCCGCTGCTTCAGATTCCGGATCTAAACGAGATTTTTATCTCTTCATTAAAGTGTAAATTCGTTTACCATCCACAAGCTTTCAAACGCAGCTATCCTTACTTTAATAGTAGAGGAGGAAAGATAGAGATGTAAAGAAAGCTCTTCCTATTGATTTTTACGTATTACGAGTTCAGTTTTAATTTATTGAGTCTAGATTGATTACATTCCTCTTCAATTTATCAAACATTTGTAATTCGTGCAGTGGCCCGTATCTCAATATTTCCTCCCGCAGAAAGGGGAAGCGAAAGAGCGCAGAATATAGAACTCGGTTTCCTCGAAGACACGAGCACAGGAAATTCGTTTAACTAACTGGCATTCGACGACGACACGTAAAGTAACGAAGATCGGTGGATACGTAGAGGGGAAGAGGAAAGGGTGCGTGCGCTCTATGGGCGGGCACAAGAATATAAAAACAAGAAGACCGGATGACTGCTAACTGTTTGTTAGTCTTGGGTTTTAAAGTCCGCACGTCTGTCAGTCCAGAGATGTAATATTAGTGCGCTTAGTATACGCGTTGCCGCCACCGCTCTCTCGCTCATTTACTTCTTCTCCTTTCATCCTCTCTTCGCGTTTACCTTTCCTCGCGTTTGCCTCAGCGTTTTCTCGCAACCCCTTTCAACCTCTCTCGCTCAAGTTGACAAATTGCTTAATGAATCTTTTCTACGACTACTAAATCTCTCTTATTTTCATTAGTTCTTATTTACATCTGACCTTTTACCAGAATAAAAAACTTGTAGGTACGATTAAAGATAAATAAATCCTACAATTTATAAAAAAATTGTGTTTTTATCTCAAGAATTATTCTTTGAATATCAGCACAAATAATCTTGTAAACCTTCTACTTTTTTTCTAATAAATTTCTATAATGAAGAGGATCTTTGAGATGAATTTGATTATTGATTAGAACATCGATAGAGATTAATTTATCATTTTCCTACTACAGAAACTCTCTTCATACAAAGCTTGCGAAGCCTAGCAATCATGCGTTATATTGCTTGTTAGGCGGGTTGATAGCCTGTACCTCAGCAAGATGACAGCAGCGGAATATCTGTTCTTTTAATGGTTCCGGTAGTTTGTGGATTGGCTAGTTTATCGATACTATTTTCGGCCGTTTGTAACTGCCGAATCGCCTAGCATTAATGATCTTTAAAGCCGAATGACAAGACTTGTACTGTTTCTTATAGAATAGATAGATAATAATCTATTCAAAAATATAATTTATTAAGTTGAATAAGATTATTACTCAGAGATGATATGTCAGTAAAATCATTGAATTTTCAAAAAGATAATTTGTATCAGCTGACTGCTAAAAGTTTGAATATAGTTGTCTGTTTCATATAATTCTTGATCAGTGTAATCTTCTTATAAAGAAGTAAAAAATATCAAGGTTAAAATAAAAGAAATTTGTATATTAAATAGCCCAGTTGTTAAAAGTAAAATGAGCCTGGAATTGCTCCTTGAATCAATGTCAGAGTTTGTGCTGAAGCGCGTTAGGGAGGGAAGGAAGGAGACTTTTCGTCAGTCGATAAGATGAAAACCACTCGTCGTTTTCGTTGTATCTTGACCCGATCTCATAGGTTCCTGCGTTAACGGAACTCAATTTATCTGTCATCGACGCAGCAGGATTTTTTCAATAACAGAAAGCGAATTATTAAAAAAATAAAATCGACACTCTCTAAGTTCTTTATTCTTCAACACGTCTCATTGAAAAAAGACAGAATATATGCGAATAAAGGCGAAATAAATTAAAAAGAGATATTATTACGTTTGCTACTCACAATTTACAAGCATCAACACTATAATTAGCTCTCAATGACGTCACATTGTTCATTCTTGATTCATGTTTGATGCGTCACGCACCAATTTGGCATCCGAACAATCTTTAATATTAACAGACTCATAAATAGAATCTGATGGCTATAATTCACCGACGAATGAGAGCTTAATTAGAATTTTCACTGGACGTGATTAATGAGCGTTGGGGAAAATACGATACTCCGATTAAATCCACATGTTCCGTGTATTTTATGCATATGCACTCGGTTTTTATTTACGCAGCATCCAGCTTTCATTCTATGGACGTCCACCTAGCTTCGCAGGCAAATAAGATCGAGTTTCATCGTTTAATGCCCGGTGATTGATTATGCGAATAACACACGATCCTCTCTAATGGGTGGCTTTCAGAATCCAATTCACGAGCTTGGAAGAAATTGCATTTTCAATATACTTCCCAATTCTCTAATTACTTTGCCTCATTTTCTTTTGTTATATAATACGTATCTGCTTTTAAGGAAAGTTCGCTTTTTTTAGAACTATCCTAATTCCTATTGTCTATCACAGGCATTGACAAATACGCCAAGATTGATAACCAATAAATTTATTTAACTTTTGACAACAGTGGGTCTGATTCTTTTTGTGCGAACAA